AATAATCCTTGCATTTGATATAGCGCTTTTCACGTCCGGAGGACGTCCCAAAGCGCTTCACAGAACACACTGTAAATAATAATAATAATAATAATAATCCTTGCATTTGATATAGCGCTTTTCACGTCGGGAGGACGTCCCAAAGCGCTTCACAGAACACACTGTAAAGTGAATTGACTGTATATTTGTGGGCGAACGCGGCAGCCAATTGCGCACAGCAATGTCCCACAAACAGTCGTAGATTGAAAATGACCAATTTATTATTGTTTTTGGTTTTGGCGGATTATTATTAGGCTCTGTGTGGAGTAAGGAAACTTGCCCAAGGTTTCGCCCTCTGTCTGGAATTGAACTCAGGTCTCTCACTTGCAAAGCGAGTGCTCTAACCACTGAGCTACAGGACTCCACAGTATATTTTGTGGGTGAAACACAGCAGCCAATTGTCATAGATTGAGTCACCAAATTATTTTTATTTTAAAGGAATTATTCCCCCCGGAATAGTGATCCGACAATTAGTTAACAATCAGGTTCCTACTTACTGCTGGATAAACAGAGGTAAACAGAGGTGTGTGGAGTAAGGAAACGTGCCCCACATTTTGCTCTGCTGGGATTGGAAACCAAGTCCTCTCGCTTGCGAGGCGAGTGCTCTAACCACTAAGCCGCAGGATGCGTGGAATTCTCAGCTTGGTTTGGATACTTTAAGCACGGTCATGGGTTTCCACATGTGTCAGACATCTGGATGACCAAAACTAAATCACGCTCTCTTTCACACGCTTTCTCTGTTTCAGACACCTCTCATACTTTTCTTTCACACTATCTCACATACACTCTCTCACTCACTCTCTTACACTCTCACACACACTCTCTGTCTCTCTCACATACTCTCTATCTCTCTACCTCTCTCTCACATTCACTCTCTCTCTCTCAGATCCATACAATTTCTATTACTGGGAGCCTGAAGTGAAATCCACGGATCAGCTAGATTTCAAACACCACAATTACAAGGAAATGCGACGGGTAATTACTCCCCTTCTCCAGGGTCAGGGCAAGGGTCAGCTCGAGGGTGAGGGTGGGTTTGCAGATGGGGCTGTGGGTTGGGGTTGGTGCTGGATTGGGGGTTGGGGCTATGGTGGGGCTGGGGTGGGGTCTGGATTGGGGGTTGGGCTATGGTGGGGCTGGGGTGGGGACTGGTTTGGGGATTGGGGCTGAGGGTTGGGATTGGGGCTGTGGTGGGCACAGGTTGGGGGCTGGGGTGGGGTCTGGATTGGGGATTGAGGCTATGGTTGGGGCTGGGGTGGGGGCTGGTTTGGGGGTTGGGGCTGAGGATTGGGGCTGAAGGTTGTAGTTGTAGTTGGGGGTTGGGACAGCAGTTGAAGTTTGGGGGCTGAGGGTTGGGGTTGAGGGTGCTGGTGATGATGATGATAATGATGTGCAGATGATGAAGATGGTGGCTGCTCGCTGCCCAAACATCACACGTTTGTACAGTATCGGCCGAAGTTTCCAGGGCCGCAAATTGCACGTGATGGAGATGTCAGACCGGCCGGGGGAACACGAGCTTGGTGAGGGGGAAGTGGGGGGGGAAAGGGTGTGTCTGAGGAGTGTGAGGGGGGTTGAGTGTGTGTGCGTGTGGGGGGAGGGTGAGTGTGTGTGTGTAGGTGGGGGAATGAGTGTATGTATGGATGGGGGTGTGAATGTGTGTGTGGGGGAGTGAGAGTATGTGTGGGGGAGTGAGAGTATGTGTGGGGGGGAATGAGAATATGTGTGGGGGGGAGTGAGGGTATGTGTGTGGTAGGAGATGAAGGTGTATGTGAGAGGGAGGTGAGGGAGTGTGTGATGCGGGTGAGGGGAGCTGAGGATGTGTGTGTGAGGGGGTGGAGGGAGTCAGGGTGTGTGTGAGGGGGTTGAGGGTGTCTCCGTGAGGGGGAGATTGAGGGGGGAGTGAGTGTGTTTGAGGGGGGTTTGAAGATGTATGTGTGTATGTGAGGGGGGTGAGGGGTGTGTGTGTGAGGGGTGGAGGGGAGGGGTTGAACGTGTGTGTGTGAGGTGGGGAGTGAGTGTGTGTGTGGGGGTGGGGGGGGATAACCTGGCAGGACAAAACCTTGGGCAAGTTTCCTTACTCCACACGTCTGATAATAATCCCTCAAGAAAAAAATAATAAATTGGTCACTTCAATCCATGACTGTTTGTGGGACATTGCTGTGCGCAATTGGCCGCCGCGTTTCGCCCACAAATATACAGTCAATTCACTTTACAGTCTAATCTGTGAAGCGGTTTGAGACGTCTGGAAGACGTGATAAGGTCCTATTATCAAATGCGAGGCTTATTATTATTAACAGGAGGGCGAGGCGGGGAAGTGTATGTATGTGTATGTGTGTGGGGGGGGGGAGGATGTGTCCGTGTGAGGGGTGATGGGCCTGACATTGCTCTGCTGTAGGGGAGCCGGAGTTCCGCTATGTGGCTGGGATGCACGGGAACGAGGTGTTGGGGCGGGAGCTGCTGTTACAGTTGATGCAGTTCCTTTGTGAGGAATACCTGAGGGGCTCGGCCCGTATCGTCCGCCTCCTCCACTCCACCCGCATCCATCTCCTGCCCGGCCTCAACCCCGACGGCTATGAGCAGGCCGCCAAGCTGGTAACCCACCACCATGAACCCCAAGCCCCAGCCCCCCAACCCCAGCTCCACCCAACTACCAACCTCAATTCCCAACCCAACTCAGCCCCCAACCAAACCCCAACCCCAACTCAGCCCCAACCCCAACTCAGCCACAACCCAACCCCAATGGCAACCCCAGCGCAGCCCCAAGACCAAGGCCAACCCCAGCGCAGTCCCTACCCCAACCTAACCCGACACAACCCCTAACCCCAGCCCATCCCCAACACCAACTCACCACCCAACCCAATCCCAACACAACTCCAACCCTGTCCCAACCCCAACTCAACCCCAACCCAGCACCAACCCCAACCCAGCACCAACCCCAACCCAGCACCAACCCCAACCCAGCCTCAATCAAGCCCTAACGCAACCCAGCCCCAACCCTAACCAGCCCCAACCCTAACCAGCCCCATCTCAGCCCCAACCCTAACCAGCCCCATCCCAGTCCCAACCCCATCCCAGCTCCAACCCTACCCAGTCCCAACCCTAACCAGCCCCATCCCAGCCCCAACCCTAACCAGCCCCATCCCAGCCCAACCCTAACCAGTCCCAACCCTAATCAGCCCCATCCCAGTCCCAACCCTAACCAGCCCCATGCTAGCCTCAACCCCAATTCCAGCCCAACCACAACCCAACCCCAGCTGCAATCCTGCGTAGCCCCAACCCATCCTCAACCCCAAACCCACACCAACCCCTACCCAGCTCCAACCCACCTAACCCAGCCCCAACCCTAATCCAAATCAACCCCAACTCATATCCCACCAGCCCCAACCTAGCCCAACCCCAAACCTAATCCCATCCCAGGCCAACCCCCAACCTAATCCCATTGCAACCCAGTCCAACCTCATCCCAACCCAGCCCTAACCCAAGCCAGCCTCAACGCCAACCCAGCACCAACCCAATCCCAGCCCCAACTCCATCCTTGTCCAACCCCAACCTAGCCCAACCCCAACCTAGCCCCAACACCAACCCAGCCTCACTCCATTCCCCTCATACACACCCTAACCCTAAACCCCACCCCCACTCCCCACAGTGCCTCCCCCTCATACACATTCCCCCTCTCTCACTCCCTTTGAAGGCCTCCGAACTCTCTGGGTGTCTCTCATTTTTTCTCTCCCTCTCTGTGTCACACACTCTCTCTCACTCTGGCTGACACTGTCTCTCACTTTCTATCTCTCACTCTCTTACTCTCTCACACTCTCTGCCACACTATCTCTCTCTCACTGTCTCTCTCACTCTCACTCTCTCCAACACTCTCTCTCACAAACTCTCTCTCTCTCTCTGTCACTCTCTCTTTCTCACTCTGTGTCACTTTCACTCTCTCTGTCTAGGGTTCTGAGCTCTCTGGGTGGGTGACTGGACGATGGACGTTCGAAGGCTATGATATGAACCATAACTTTGCCGACCTGAACTCCATCCTGTGGGAAGAGGAAGAGCGCTGGCCCGATCCCAGCCGTGTCCTCAACCACTACATCCCCATCCCTGCTTACTACACCTCGCCCAACGCCTCCGTGAGTCTCTCTTACACACACTCGCAATACAACAACAACTACATCCCCATCTCTAATTACCTTGCCCAACACCCCATGAGTCTCTGACTGTCTCACGCACACTCTCTCATACACACACTCTCTCTCATACACACACTCTCTCTCATACACACACTCTCTCATACACACATTCTCATACACACTTTCTCTTATACACAACAACAACAAAATTACATGTACAGAGTGCCTTTCACGTCGGGAGGACGTCCCAAAGCGCTGAACAGTCAGGTGTCGGGGCCCGAGCATGGGGGAGGGGTGGTGTAGGGGTGAGGGAAGGCAGAGAGGTGGGAGGGAGACCAAAGGCACGGTCAAACAGAAAGGTCTTGAGACCGGCCTTGAAGGAGGCAAGAGAGGAAGCGAGGAGAAGGGACCGTGGGATGGAATTCCATAGTGTGGAGGCAGAGAGGCTGAAAGTCCAGCCATCGATGGTAGGGTAGGTCGGGCGGGAGACATGGAGCAGACCGGAGCCCGATGAACAGAGGGAGTGGGCAGACTCGTAGGGAGTCAGCGGGTCAGAGAGGTAGGAGGGGGGAAGGCCATGGATGGCCTTAAAGGTGAGTTTGAGGATCTTGAACTCGATCCTCTGGGGGATGGGAGCCAGTGGAGTCGGGCGAGGGTGGGAGTGATGGGGTCACGGAGCCTGGTGCGTGAGAGTACACGAGCTGCAGAGCTCTTTCTCTCATACACACAGTCTATCACACTCTCTCACAAACTCTCTCTCTAACACACACACTCTTTCTCTCACTCTCTAAACTACAGGCTACGCTGCAACCCCTCCAGAGCCAATGTATCCTTCCTTAGGTGCAGTGCTCAAAACTGAACGCAGAGGGGTCTGACCAAGGCTCTATATAGTTGAAGCATCGTTACCTCTCCTTTATATTCCAGCCCCCTTGGGATGAAGGACAATATCCCATTAGCCGGTTTGATAACGTTTTGTACCTGTGAGCTTCTATTCAGTAATGTGTGTACGTGGACACCCACATCCCGTTATTTCTCCACAATTTCTAGTTTCTCCCCATTTAGAATAAATGTTGTTTCGCTAATTTTAGATCCATAATGGATGACGTCACATTTCCCCACACTGAATTCAATCTGCCACAGTTTTGCCCAATCGCTTAATCTGTCTTAAGTCTCTGTAATCTTCCTGCACCCATCTACACAATTTACTGTGCCTTCTAAATTTGTGTCATCTGCAAATTTGGAAATAAAACTCTATTCCTTTATCCAAGTTTTTATTTTATATATGTATTATATATAAAATATATATATGGTGAAAAGCTGAGAAAAAACAGTACAGTCCCCTGTTCCCCTTATCCAATTGCTGTGCGCAATTGGCTGCCGCGTTCGCCCACAAATATACAGTCAATTCACTTTACAGTGTGTTCTGTGAAGCGCTTTGGGACGTCCTCCCGACGTGAAAAGCGCTATATCAAATGCAAGGATTTATTATTATTATTATTTTTATCCCTACACTCTGTTTCCTGACTCCCAACCAATTACAAACATAACCAATTACCAAGTTACGTCACAAGGTTACTCCGATTCCATGTGCTTTTATATTTGTTTGTAGACAACATCCATAGTCTGGTAGCGTTGTGGTTAGAGTACTCGCCTTGCAAAAGAGAGGACCTGAGTTTGATTCCCATTATTCCACACATCTATGTTTCCCTAGCATTAAATAGGAACCTGCTTGTTAGTCAAATGGCGGATCGCTAACGAGGGATATTACTCCCTTCAAAAATAATTTGGTCACTCAATCCACGACTCTTTGTGGGACACTGTTGTGCACAATTGGTTGTGGTGTTTTGCCCACTAAATATAGTCAATTCACTTTATATTGCGTGAAGCGCTTTGGGATGTCGCAACGATGTGATAAGGCGCTATATTAAATGCAAGGATTATTATATTAGATATCATTATGAGGACAGGTTGCGTAAACTTGGTCTCTATTCCTTGAATTGAAGGTTGGGAGGTGATTTGATTGAGATGTTTAAAATAATAAAGGGATTTGATAGGGTAGATATAGAGAAACTATTTCTTCTGGTAGGGAATCCAGAACAAGGGAACATCATCTCTCTCTTTCAAAATTAGAGCGAGGCCATTTAGGAGTGAAATTAGGAGGCAGTTTTTCGTCTAAAGGGAAGTGGAAATCTGGAATTCTCTTCCCAAAAGGCTGTCTAGACTGACAATGTCTCGATTGATGGATAGATATTTGTTAGGTCAGGGTATAAAGGGTGAGGTCCAAGGGCGGGTAATTGGATTTGAGGTACAGATCAGCCCTGATCTTATAAAATGTCGGAACAGGCTCGAGGGGCTGAATGGCCTCCTCCTGTTTCTATATTACACGCATTCTCTCTCTTTCATTCTCTCACACTCTCTCTGACACATGCTCTCAGTCTCACACACACAAACACACACAATCTCTTTCACACTCTCAATCGCTCACTCTGTCTCTCTTACACAAACATTCTCGCACAGAGTCTCTCACACACACACTCACACTCAGTCTCACACACACTTTCTCATACTCTCACTCACACACTCTTGCACACTTTCTCACACACTTGCTCATTCTCACACACTCACTCTCACACACTCACTCTTTCTCACACTCACTCTTTCTCACACATACACACACTCTCACACACTCACACATACACTCTCTCACACAGACATTCTCTCACACACATACACACTCTCATACATTCTCACACTCTCTCATACACTCTCACACACTCTCTCACACACTCTCTCACACACACTCTCACACACATACACACTCTCTCACACATACAAACTCTCATACACTCTCACACTCTCTCACACACTCTCATACACTCTCTCTCACACATACACACACTCTCACACACATACACACTCTCACACATACAAACTCTCATACACTCTCTCACACGCTCTCACACACGCTCTCTCATACACTCTCACTCTCTCATACACACTCACACTTTCTCACACACACTCTCACACACATACACACACTCTCTCACACACATACACACTCTCTCACACACATACACACTCTCTCACACATACAAACTCTCATACACTCTCACACTCTCTCACACACACACACTCTCTCTCACACACACACTCTCTCTCTCTCTCTCACACACACATTCCCTCTGTCCCTCAGGTTGCTGTTGAGACACGAGCGATGGTGAGATGGATGAAGCGATTGCCGTTTGTGTTGGGGGCGAGCCTGCACGGGGGGGAGCTTGTGGTCACGTACCCATTTGACATGACGCGGTGGGGGGCTCTGCGGGCTCTCACACCCACCGCAGACGATGACTTCTTCCGCTGGCTGGCGCTGGTGTTCGCCTCCAGCAACCTGGCCATGGTGAGGCCTCGCCGGCCCTGCCACACAGAAGACTTCAGCTACCTCGGCAACGTCATTAATGGTGCCGACTGGCACACTGTGCCTGGGAGTGAGTCCCCCCCGTGTGTCACCGTGTGTTTGTATGTATGTGCGTCAATGTGTGTCTGCCTGTCTGTGTCACCGTATCTGTGTCACTGTGTCTGTGTGTGACCGTGTGTGTGACCGTGTGTGTGACCGTGTGTGTGACTGTGTGTGTCACTATGTGTCACTTGGGACGTCCTCCCGACATGAAAGGCGCTATAGAAATGTAAAGAGAGAGAGATACGTATGTGTATGTCCCCGTATGTGTGTCACATTGTGTGTCACAGTATGTGTGTGTGTGTGTGTATCGCCTGGAGAGGTGCCGGGGGACTAGAAAGGCAGATGTTACTCCTATTTATAAGAAAGGTAACAAAAGTGACCCAGGAAACTACAGACCAGTAAGTTTGATATCCATTGTGGGTAAAATTATGGAGACTCTTATTAAGGATAAAATCATGGAGCATCCGGACAGAAATAAAATCATAAATGATAGCCAAAATGGGTTCATGAAGGGAAGGTCTTGTCAATCTAATTTACTGGTTTTCTTTGACGGTGTGACAAGGAGCTCGGTAAGGGTAAGGCTGGGGGTGTTGTATGTCTGGGTTTCAGTACGGCCTTTGTTACAGTTCCCCTTCAGTCTCTCTTCCCAACCATGTCTGCAGTCTGTCTATGATTACAGTGGTGAGACATCACCTTGTTGACGAGTATCAACAAGATAATAATAATCCCTCCAAAAAAACCAAAAAACAATAATAAAAAAAAATTGGGTCATTTTCAATCTACGACTGTTTGTGGGACATTGCTGTGCGCAATTGGCTGCCGCGTTCGCCCACAAATATACAGTCAATTCACTTTACAGTGTGTTCTGTGAAGCGCTTTGGGACGTCCTCCCGACGTGAAAAGCGCTATATCAAATGCAAGGATTATTATTATTATTATTATTATTATTGAGAGGGCAGTACTGAAAGTAAAGAAAGCGGGAATCAGTGGAGGTATATTACAATGGATACACAATTGGTTGACCGGAAGAACCCAGAGGGTAGTGGTACAGGGAATGTGATCAGACTGGGAAGATGTCACCAGTGGGGTTTCACAAGGGTCTGTTTTAGGACCTCTTTTGTTTCATATTTTTAGAAATGATCTGGAACGAGGAGTCTCAAACACAGTGGCTAAGTTTGCAGATGACACCAAACTGATGAAGGCGGTAGATTGCGAAGCTGAACGCGATAGGTTACAGGAGGGTTTGAACACACTTGGGAATTGGGCAGATCGGTGGCGAATGAAATTCGATGTGGAGAAATGTAAAGTACGTCACACGGGGATACAAAATGCTGGAAGGGACTATTATTTGAACAGAAGGAAAATAATATGTATGGAAAATGAAAAGGACCTAAAGGGGTCCTGATTGACAATAAACTGAAGCTCTCCCAACAATGCTCTATGGCAAACCAGATGTGTGTCACAGTGTGTGCGTCACTGTGTGTTACAGTGTGTGTCACTGTGCTTCAATGTGGTGTGTGTGTGCGTGTGTGACTGTGTGTCACGGTGTGTGTGTGTATTTCACTGTGTGTGTCAGAGTGTGTGTATCACTGTGCCACAGTGTGTGTGTCACCGTGTGTGTATCACTGTGTGTCACTGTGTTACAGTGTGTGTCAGTGTGTGTGTGTCACTGTGTGTCAGTGTGTTTGTGTGTCACTGTCTGTCACAGTGTATGTGTCATTGTCTGGTCACCCCCTTCCCCTCCCCTCTCCCCCCGTCCCCAGCTCGGGTCTGAAATGCTGTACACTGTCCAGCGCCTTGGGACGTCCTCCTGACGTGAAAGGCCCTATACAAATGTAATCTTGTTGTTGTTGTGTGTATCACAGTGTGTGTGTATGTCACTATGTGTGTCAGTGTGTGTGTCACTGTCTGTCGCAGTGTGTATGTGTCTGTGTGTTACATTGTGTGTGTCACTGAGTGTGTGTCACTGCGTGTGTATCATAGTGTGTGTGTCAGAGTGTGCGTGTCAATGTGTCAGTGTGTGTCACTGTGTGTCGCACTCTGTGTTGCTCTGTGTGTGTGTGTGTGTGTGTGTGTCAGAGTGTGCGTGTCAATGTGCCACAGTGTGCGTGGGTCACTGTGTGACAAAGTGTGTGCGTCACTGGTGTGTCTGCGTGTGTGTCAAGAGTGTGTGTGTCGCTGTTTGTATCACAGTGTGTGTGTGACTGTTTGTGTCACAGTGTGTCTCTGTGTTACAGTGTGTGTGTCACTGTGTGTGTCACTGCGTGTGTGTCATTGTGTGTCACGGTATGTGTGTTGCTGTTTGTGTCACAGTGTGTGTGTGTGTGTGTGTCACTGTTTGTGTCACAGTGTGTGTCACAATGTGTGTGTGTGTCAGTGTGTGTCATATTGTATGTGTCACATTGTGTGTCACTGACTGTCACGGGTGTGTGTCAGTGTGTGTCACTCTGTGTGTGTGTGTGTGTGTGTGTCTCTATGTGTCACTCTCATCTTGTCCTTTCAATGAGATGTTGAGCCCCGGTCCTGTTCCGGTGGATGTTTAAGATCCCGCGGCACTGTTCGGAAAGTGAAGGGGGTTTCTCTGTTGCATTTTCCTGACCAACAGCCCCAGAGATAACCGGTCACTCAATCCACGACTGTGTGTGGGACGCTGCTGTGTCCAATTGGCTGCCAAGTTTTGCCCACAAAGTAGACAGTCACTACACTTCACAGTGAATCCTGTGTCTCTGTGTCACTGTGTCTCTCTCTCTCTCTCTCTGTGTCACTATGTGTGTCTCTCTCTCTGTGTCACTGTGTGTCTCTGTGTCACTGTGTCTCTCTCTGTGTCACTGTGTCTCTCTGTGTCACTGTGTCTCTGTATCACTGTGACTCTCTTTCTCTGTGTCACTGTGCGTCTCTCTCTCTGTGTGTCACTGTGTGTCTCTGTGTGTCTCTCTCTCTGTGTCACTGTGTGTCTCTCTGTGTCACTGTGACTCTCTCTGTGTCACTGTCTCTCTGTGTCATTGTGACTCTCTCTCTGTGTCACTGTGACTCTCTCTGTGTCACTGTGACTCTCTCTGTGTCACTCTCTCTGTGTGTCACTGTGACTCCTCTCGGTGTCACTGTGACTCTCCCAGGTGGCACAGCGCAGGTGGCACAGCGCAGGGTGGCACAGCGCAGGGTGGCACAGCCCAGGGTGGCACAGCGCAGGGTGGCACCGGGCAGCGTGGCACAGGGCAGGGTGGCACAGCCCAGGGTGGCACAGCCCAGGGTGGCACAGCGCAGGGTGGCACAGCCCAGGGTGGCACAGCCCAGGGTGGCACAGCCCAGGGTGGCACAGCGCAGAGTGGCACAGTGCAGGGTGGCACAGCGCAGAGTGGCACAGTGCAGGGTGGCACAGCGCAGGGTGGTATGCTACGGGGCTTTGTGGGCGCTGAGCTGCTCTGACCTGTGCGGATGTGGTGGTTGATGCCATCGACAGCAATGATGGCTCTGGCGATGCCCCGGCGGTGCCGGTCTGTGACTCTACCCTTTACTCCGCGGTGAATCTGAAACACATAGGCACAGGGTCATAGGGCAAGGGGGCGGGGCCGGGTGAGGGGCAGCGCCGGGGTGGGGCAGTGGGAGGGGCCGGGGTGGCAGGGGCCGGGTAGGCCAGGTGGGGCGGGGTCAGGCCGCAGGTCGGGCCAGGGTCAGGTGCTGGGGTCGGGCCGGGGTCGGGCTGGGGTCGGCGGGCGGGCCGGGGTCGGGTCGGGGTCGGGGTCGGGCTGGGTCATGTCAGGCCGGGGTCAGGTCAGGGTCGGGGTCGGGCCGGGTGGTCAGGCGGCGGGGTCTGAGGTCAGGGCTCGGGGTCGGGCGTCGGGGTCAGGTCGGGCCGGGCGGCGGGTGTCGTGGTGGGGCGGGTCGGGTCAGTCAGGCTCGGGGTCGGGGTGGGGTCGGGTGGGGCGGGCGGGGTGGGGTGGTGGCCCGGGCCGGTCGGGGTGGGGTGCCGGGGTTGCGGCGGGGTGGGTCGGGTTTGGGGTCAGGCCGAGTGGGGTCAGGTCGGGTGGGTGTGTCGGGGTGGGGTGGGGGGCGGGGTCAGGGGGTGGATGCCGAGGTCGGGGTGGGGCGGTCGGGTGGGGGTGGGGCGGGGTGGTGGGCGGGGGTGGGGTGGGCCGGGGTGGGGGGCGGCGGGGTGGGGCCGGGGTGGGGTCGGGTCGGGTGGGGCCGGGTGGGGTGGGGTCGGGTCAGGTCAGGTCGGGGTGGGGTGGGGCCGGGGTGGGGCCGGGCCGGGGTCGGTGGGGTCAGGGGGGTGGGGGTGGGGCCAGGGTGGGGTGGGGGTGGGGCCGGGGTGGGCCGGGCCGAGGTCGGGGTGGGGTCGGGGTGGGCCGGGGTGGGTGGGTCGGGGTGGGGCCGGGCCGGGTCGGGTTGGGGTCAGGCCGGGTGTGGGCCGGGTGGGGTCGGGTGGGGGGCCGGGGTGGGGTGGGGCCGGGCCGGGGGGGGGGTCGGGTGGGGTGGGGCCGGGGTGGGGCCGGGCCGGGGTGGGGTCGGGTGGGGTCGGGGTGGGGTGGGGCCGGGCGGCGGGCCGGGGGGGTCGGGTGGGGCCGGGGTGGGGCCGGGGTGGGTGGGGTGGGGTGGGGTGGGGCCGGGGTGGGCGGGGTGGGTGGGGTGGGGTGGGGTGGGGCCGGGCCGGGCCGGGCTGACCTGCTCTATGAACACCAGAAGGCTCTCCTTGTTGTTCTCCCACTCTGCCGGAAGCTCACTCTGATGTGGGAACTTGTCACAGCTCACCTCCAGCGTCAGCTCAAAGCAGTTCGTGTGCAGATAACTGAAGTCATTCATACCTGAGACACAGAGAGAGAGTCACAGTGACACAGAGAGAGAGTCACAGTGACACAGAGAGAGAGTCACAGTGACACAGAGAGAGAGACAGTGACACAGAGAGAGAGTCACAGTGACACAGAGAGAGAGACAGTGACACACAGAGAGAGTCACAGTAACACAGAGAGAGAT